TGCACTCGAGTTGTGCGGTGCAGCCTACCACACAGGCATACTGGCATTGGAGCCGTGCGGCACAGCCTACCACCCAGGTGACTGCACAGTATACTCGTACATCGATACACTGATTTGGGCCACAGTTACGAGTCCGCGCTCCGGGGGGAGGGGGGGCGGGGGGCATGTGCACCCCATCTAGCCGAATCTTTTGTTAAGACCGGCCGTTCCATCATACGTGCCTAGAAGATGCATCCATCTCTTCTCTCTTACACGCCTGTAGTCCACGTTCTGCTTTTGTATATATATATATATATATATATATATATATATATATATATATATATATATATATATATATATATATATATATATATATATATATATATATATATATATATACAAAAGCAGAACGTGGACTACAGGCGTGTAATATATATATATATATATATATATATATATATATATATATATATATATATATATATATATATATATATATATATATATATATATATATATATATATATATATATATATATATATATATATATATATATATATATATATATATATATATATATATATATATATATATATATATACATATATCAGCAACCCCTGGACCGATTGGCCTGCGGTCTTTTTTGCTGGGTAGCCCCATCCCTTCTACCCCGCAATTGACTACTGTTGTCTGTTGATGCATCTCAGTGACCGTCGTGGCACGTGCCACGTGAAAAGTCAAGGGTGTTCAAGCTGTTTTGCAAAAGTAGTGATTTTGAGAGGCTCATATCTCAGCAGCCGCTTGGGCGATTGTCTTGCGGTAATTTTTGTAGGGTAGCTGCATCTTTTCTTCCAAACGTCGGATACTCTTGATCTATGTGAGTAACCCCCACTGCACGTGCAAACTGCAAAAAAAGAGGTGCCAAATTTGTTCCCATTTCAATAACTCGGTAATTACTGGGGCGATTTCGCTGAAACTTGGCATACAGGTAGGCACCCACCAGGCAATGCATTCCCATGTGTTGCGATTAGGGTGCTACTGCACGTGCGCACGTGCAGGGGGCACTTCCAGATCTCGAGAACGGCTGGGCCGATTGCGCTCAAATTTGGTACACGGTTGGGGACCGGTTAGTAGGGTATCGTGCAAAAGTCAGCATGTCGGCTCGCATTAGCCGCGCGTTTGCAGTCTTTTCGCGTGGTTTCAAGCGTTGAAACATGAGATATGATGAGTGGGGATAGCAGTTTCGTAGCTTGAGCTGGGACAAGCACAAATCAGGATCTTGCACGGCCCAACGATCACCCTAGGCAAAGATATTCCATTTCTCGTCCCGAAAAAGTGCCTTGCTGAGGAATGTGTGCCTTGCACTTTGCAGGGGCCATTTCCCCCTTTTTAAACTGTCCGCTGTCCGTTCTTCCTATATAAAAATAAAGAAAATAATATTTTTGATGAATACCTAGGTTTAACCCTCGCCGGCACAGGGGGGTTATACTTGACCTCTTTTCCCAGACCATGTTTGGCCGGTTGATGCAACCCCCCTCCCTAAGGTTTTTCGCGAATAACTCGCGTAAAAAGCGGCCGATCGCGAAGAAACTTTCAGTACCCTCGCATTGATCAATTTTCAACCTACCCTGAAAATTTCATGACCCTGACCCCAAAGACTTTTCACCTGTGACCTCTTTTCCGAGACCATGTTTGGCCGGAATCGCGATTCGGCGTATGTCGGCTCGCATTAGCCGCGCGTTTGCAAGCTTTTCGTGGTTTCAAACGTTCAAACATGTGATTTGATGTTGCTCCCATGCATTAGGGTGGGTGTCAAGGTCACCTGAAGGTCAGGTCAGGTCATTGACCTTTGGGGACCTCGGTTCACTTTTTGGAATTTTACATGTTTCTAGGCTAGTTTTTGGAACTGATTTCGAATTTAGCAACCATTTGAACATTTACGAAGTAGTTTTGGTGCCTTCGTAACATGTTTCGAAGCTATCAGATGCGGTTGACACGTATTACGAATACCCGTCACGACCCCTACCGGTTGACCTGACCTGACCTGACCCGACCTGGTCTAAATGCTTAAAGACATCATCTCTGATGAAAACTAACACGGAATTCGTGATCAGCACCCCGAAAAAACCTTTAGCAGCCACACTTTACGACTTTCTAACAGGTCCCGATTTTCCCGATTTTCGGGTCATTGACCTGACCTGGAAGGTCACCCGATGACATAGGACCTTAAAATTGGATATCATCGGCTTCCTCTCGTGACGGGCAACACGCTCGTTTTTTCCGCGAAGCTCTAGCTCGATCAGGGGCCAAATGCGAGGGGGGATCGTAACACCCCCTCCCCTTGTGCTGTCGAAGGACGTAAATGGCCTGTGCCGGCGAGGGTTAATTTTCTTTGCTGAGCATTTTGAGCATAAAAAAATTATAAATCAATTGCAAAAAAGTAATTTCGTACATTTTACGAAATTACTTTTTTGCAATGGATTGTAAAAGTGAACGTTTCGGATGCCGACAGTCAGAGCGATGCATTACATGAATCAACATTTTTTTTTTTTTTTAGATAGGTAATCCAAACATACTTGTCAATTGTCATAGTCTTAGTGTAATGAGCGTGGCAACCATAGGTAGGGGAGAGTGGGGTAAGATGCCCAGGGTGGGAAAGACGCCCCACCCCCTCTAGCGGCGAAACAAAGAATCGAATCTGGAAATTAATGTTCTTAGCGTAAAGCGGAAGCCTGCCTTGTTAACTGCACAAAAATTTGTGAGGCTCAGTTGGACAACGGCTGGCTGGTGATTGCATGTTTTTTATTTGCTGCTTTCAAAAAATATTTTGGTGTCAAAACATTGTAAATATCAAAGTACCTTTTTGCGCCCCTTGCTATAGTCGCGATAAATTAACATGCGTGTACTGTGTCCCAAACAGTTTGTTTCAGGGTGTAGTTTTATGGCTAACAAATTGTACTGATTTAATGTTACCTCGGTACCTTGGGGTAAGATGCCCCCTGTCCTGATGGGGAAAGACGCCCCCCTAAATCCGTAGGCTGTCCTTCAAGCAGCCCGTCAAATCATTTATTACATACCTGTGATGAGAGACAAAAGCCGATCTGGGACTATTGAGAGTCCAGTACGGTCGGGTGCTCCCCATGCCGGTCTCTCGGCCCACACAGCGACTTTTTGGGCGGCATCTGACTCTGAGAGCCCTTACGACGGCCTCTGTGGGCCACATTATTGGCTCCAGGGCACCTCACGACATCCTTTGAGGGCTCCCACGTTGGCTCCACGGGCCGCGCTGGCATCTGAGGTCCCCACGATGGACTCGAGGGCCCTCAAGCATCATGAAGACCTATAAGGGCCCCACAGTGGTCTCCGAACGCCGCCACGGAGGCTTGTTTGGCCGCGCTGGACTATGATGGCCCTAACGATGACCTCTGAAGCCCCTTACGACTACTTTTGAGGGCCCTTACGATGACGTTTGGTGTCTACTGCAGGCCCGAAGGGACTACTGATTCGTTCAGGCGATTCACGTGCCCATTTATGTCACTTATAGTGCAGGGGCATCTTACCCAACGCCAGGGGGCGTCTTTCCCACCCTGTAGGGTAAGATGCCCCCTTTCACTTCTTCAGGAAAATGCTTAATAGCAAAAAAAGTTATCATATTTCAAGCACGAAAGTGTGATATTCTTGGAGAAAAATGATGTCGGCTTCCGTTGAAACTTGAAACTACAAGTTTTTGCTTTCCGATCGTCATTTTCGAATAATATATGACATAGTAAAACCCTGGGCATCTTTCCCCACTCTCCCCTACGGGAACCGGGGGGGGGGGGCAGCTTGCTCCTCCCTAACTCTGGGGCCGTGGGGGCGGTGTCCCCACAACTTTGGGACGGAATACCGCACTTTTTTTGCAAATACATATTTTGGTTTTCTTTTTTCTTTTTGGAAAAGCTAAGGGATGAAAAATAAGTGGCCTAAAACCGGTAAGGAAACTAGATTTAGGGTACCCTAGGCTGATCTCTATACCTAATGGCGTGCCCTCAGCCTGAAAGTAGTACGTACCTACCCGCGCCCCTGGTGGCAGCGTAATAACTTATACCGAATTGCTTGTTTTCAAGCGAGCTCACGGCACGGATGTCTGCAGCAGATTTATTTCTTTTTTGTGGCGGTATTCTTCAGAAAAGCCAAGAATGAAAAATATGAAAATCGACTGATTCAAGCGATAAAGAAGTGTTTCCATAAACCAGTATAACGCCTTTTGGGGCGACTAACGGAGCGAGCGAGAGGGTGGGCCCTGCACGTGCGAAATTGCGAGGGGGTACCTCCAACTGACTTGTGCACGGCACCCTACTAACCGGTCTCTAGCGATGTGCCAAATTTGGGCACAATCGGCCCAGCCGTTCTCGAGATCTGGAAGCGGCACCCTGCACGTGCGCACGTGCAAAATGGGTCCCAACTGACTTGTGCACGGCACCCTACTAACCGGTCCCTAACTGTGTACCAAATTTGAGCGCAATCGGTCGAGCCGTTCTCGAGATCTGGAAACAACCCCTGCACGTGCGCACGTGCAGCAGCACCCAAACTCTGGCACATGGATATGCAGTGCCTAGTGGGTGCCTACCTACATGTCAACTTTCAGCGCAATCGGCCCAGTAGTTACCGAGATATTGCAACAATTACAAAACTGACACCTCTTCGTTTTGCACGTGGCACGTGCATAAGGGGTCACCCACATGCATCAGGAATAGTCCAATACTTGGTAGAAGGAATGAAGCTACCCTACAAAAATTACCGCGTGTAAATCGGTCAAGTGGTTGCTGAGATATAAGCCTCGCAAAAGCGTCCGCACGGCCGGCCGGCCGGCCGCTCATACTCAGAAATTTCCGTTAATCTAAGGAAAGACTACGCTCGCTTCGCTCGCTCCGTAATCAGGTAAACAAAGAGTTGAAGCTAAGATGTTCAAGCTATGCTGCGAAATTGACAGCAGGATAAGCTTGCCATTTCTTTGAACCTTGATCGCCGGCAGACAATTGAGGCAAACACGGCGCGACGCAAGTCGGTCGCAACATCAAAAAAAAAAACAACAAAGCAAATAAATAAAGTGAATATAAATAGAGCGGATATGTGTTAATAATTTGTTTGCGGCACTAAGATGAGTACGAGATATTATGCACTGTATTGATCGGAGATGGATCGAAAGCGGCAACGAATCTATTCTGTTTGCGAGCATTACCTATCCCATCCATCAGGGGCACTGCCGATTCTTTCCATGCAACGCCCATGGGCTAGTAATATTAAAATGTCAAAGTGAAAGGGGGCACAGTGCCCCAGTGCCTTCCCCATTCCGCCGCCTATGCCATCCATCGGCATCAGCGGATCCAGAATGAGAATGAGAAGAACAAAAATTGACATACTTAGGGGGACAAGCATATGGGCTTGCAAGCATGAGAAGGGGCCAGAGACAAGCGAATCAGAATGGCACCAGCCAACAATTTTGTAAAATGCTGCTTGACTGTTTAAAATGCTGTGTAAAATGTTATGACTAATGCAGTTTTCCACCCATTTGATTACATTAAAAGCATGAACGATTTTGTAAAGAAAATGTGCATGCAACCAAGGCAGTACCTAGTTAACATGCATGCAATCATTTTGTTGTAAGGAATGATTTAAGCACGGGGTGAAAGTTTGCGATGTAGGTGACCTGGCGTTTGTGATGTGGCTAATAATCTCTCAAATTTTGCAGTTTACTTCATTCTAAAAGACATTTTGATTTGGAATGGTTTCCAGACATTGCACCAGAGTACCTATATCCATAAAAACTTTTTTTTTAAACTATAAATTTGCTTACTCCGGCAGCCAGCTTGTCCAACACTGCAGGAGCCTTTCTCCTCAAACCACTGTGTCACAATTGAATTTAAACAAATTTTCAAGCACTAAAAAAATGATATAAAATTGACATCACTGTTGACAGTTATCAAAGAATTACGAAGATTAAACAAGTTTTTTTTTTAAATAAATCCTAACCTAACCTAACCTGACCAATAAAAGTGACATATTTCTTTTAATTTAGCACAAAATTTTTGTCAAACTGAGTCATGACCAAGAAAATACTACAAGGTAGATGAGGTGTACTGAACGAGTATAAGCAAAAATTAAAGTGTCGTGCTACCTACCTTTTATTATGCAATAATACCAAAAATGTATGCTGTCTGTATGGTTTTTGTTAAATGTGCTTAATTGGGTCTACTTTTCAGGTTTACTGACTTATTAGCTGGAGGCAAATTGGCCACTGTCCAAGAATGGCCTCTCGCCCCGGTGGCCCACCAGGCTATGTTGGAACTGCACAATCACCAGCAATGTCCTACGCTGGGCCCAGGAATGCCTATGCTGTGAGTATATGCTCTTCTATGCATATTACTTATATGTATTTTTGTAGGTACCTACCCACTCTTTTGATGACTTCTTTTTCCTTTTTTCATTCTCTTTCTGCATGGGTTTTAGCTTATCTGAATCTGATATTTTACCTAGCAGCTTGGTATATCTCTTGTATTGCAAGTGCGGACCAATGCTTTTATTTCAATGACCAAGAAAAACCATGCAGTGACCATGTTGGTAGTAGCTTTTGATGTTAAACATATATGTGTGTTGTGTTGCAGGGCATGCCAATGGGCCACTACCCTTCTAGCAGTGCTCAGAACATGATGCAGCGATCAGGTATGTCAAATGTCCACAGTGGGTTTTCAATAGGATTCAGTTTTTATTGCAGTATTTTATCTTACCTTTAACACGCGCAGTGGAAGGGTTGCGAGTACTACGCCCAGTGGAAGGGGGGGGCGGATGTCGCCCCCCCCTAAGATCTCAGCTCCCACTGGAGCTAAAAAGACGAAATTTGGAGGGTAGGTGGAGGCCATGGGGAACTCTATTGTGTGTGAATTTCATGACCCTAGGTCAATATCTTCAAGGTCAAATGAGGTCAAATGTGGTCAAATCTGCCATATTAGCGACTTTTTTGCGTTTACACGCCAATAACTCAAAAAGTTACCGGCCGATTTTCTTTAATCTTTCACTATACGAAAGAACAAACATTTGTGAGTATGTATGGTGAATTTCTAGATAATCCAACTATAAATATGGCAGTTAGAAGCCTGCTAAGGGTAAGATGTCGCCGGCTGGAGCGGGATCGCACGACGCGGGAAACGCGGCAATCACAATTTTGTGTTTACACACTCATAACTCAAGTTGTTACCGGTCGATTTTCAAAATTCTTTGACCATATGATTGCCTGTACATTTTTCAGTCTTCTCACCGAGTTTGACGCGAATCTAATGTAATCAGCGGTAAGGAGCGCGATGTAAAGACGGAACCGTCCCGCCCCGGCACAGTCTACAATTCAGGCGGCGCGTAACGGCTAGCGCCGGCCGCCGCGGCGGCAGGATGTTTGACTTTACACCGCTATTATTAGAAAAGTTGTGAACCGATTTTCTTACTTCTTGCACGAGAAGTTCCGCAATTCAATTCTGGACAGGTAGCCGAGATTTTACATTGATATTATGCTTGCGGCGCGAGTTATTGGCGAAAAACAGGAGGGGTGGGCGAAATCCGCCCCCCCCCCCTTCCACTGCGCGTGTTAATCAAACATCACTTCAATGTTGTGCTAATAAATTGTGTTCATTATCTGTTATTTTGTGTGTCATTTTGTTCGTTTTTGTTGTTTCCTAATTTGGTAATTATATTGGTATTGGTGTGATAGGTATTAGGTAATCATGGTCTTCCACTAGCTCCCAGATTACAGATTACAGATATATTCAGACAAGGTTCTCTCAATAGTGAGGCTTTTCACATGTCCACGTCATGATAGTGTGATACAAAACGAGGAACAGTGTGCAGCACGCATAATTCCCACACACGCACCCATACATGCTATTGCTCATGTCTGTTGCTTAGACAGCTGCACCTTTCGGATGTTCGCCCGGTACGACAATGTCCCTGGTTCTACTCCAAGTTCGTTCATACGAGTCACACCTCGGTAGCACAATCTACGTCTTCCCGACTCCGTTCGAATGAAGGGGAGGGTGAGGTAGCTGGCCTGCCTAGTGTTGTGCCGGTGCCGCTGGCTAGCCCGCTGCCCCAGCGTACCTTTGAGGTACTCCGGCTGCTCCGACACAAAGATACGCTCGACAGCACTCACTGTGTGGTATGTTACCAAATCCTTGGCAGTCAACCACTTCAGCTGCTTGATGACAGCCGCCACGCTATCACGTCGTCGCCGACCGGACACAACGCGTGCACAAAAGTTCATAACTTTTTGCAGCCGTCCTAACTGCACCTCACCACACGAGCCGTACACCGACAGACAGTACCGCAGCACAGATACAACCAGGGCTTCAACTATCGGCTTCAGTGCTGACCGCGGTATAACGTGACGAGCGTGCAGTAGCGCTGTCAGCATCCCGGTACATTTCCGCGCCACACCGTCTACATGGGACACAAAGCTGAGGTGACGGTCGATCGTCACTCCTAGATTTTTAACAGTTTCTGACTCTGTAATGGTGGTAGAGCAGAAAGTCAGCGTGACAGGCGGCAAATTGCGAAGCATCGCTGGGGTACCGATCACAAGCATCTGTGTTTTCGCAGCATTAAGTCTCATTCCATTGTGGCAGAACCACTGATACATTCGACCCAGTGCATCCTCCATACGCGCGGTCAACAGATTCAAGTCGCTCTTCTTGCCAGTAACCATCAGCTGGGTGTCATCAGCATACTGGACTACCGTGACGTCATCGGGAACACACAGACACAGATCGTTTGAGTACAGCATGTACATGAGACAACTCAGGGCGCCGCCTTGGTATACGCCAATCGCGTTAGCCTTGCTGTCCGACAGCAGTGTCGAACCGTCCGCGCACCTCACTTGGACCTGCTGCGAGTGGTGAGCCAAATAGGCACGGAACCATGTGGTTTCGATACCGTACACAGACAATTTGTCGAGAAGTGTAACATGAGGAACAACATCAAAACATTTTGAGAGGTCTAGTAGTACCAAGATACAAATGTTACCATTGTCTATTGCCTGAAGAGCATGATCAGTAAAGACGTGAAGCGCGGTTTCCGTTGAACGTTGTTTTCTATAACCGTGTTGGGCGTCCGAGAGAAGGAAATTTTCTTCGAGATAAGAGACCAACTGTTTTTGCACGACACGTTCAATTAATTTCATAATCGCAGGCAGGATGGAGATGGGACGCGTGTCGGACGGCTCGGTAGCCCTCGTTCCTTTCGGAATTGGGGTAACCAGAGCGTGTTTCCAGTCCTGCGGTACTACTCCGTTAGAAGGCTGGAGTTCATAACATCCAAAACCGCATGGCCAATCCCGGGAACGAACTTCTGTAACATGCGCACACTGACACCGTCCTTGCCAGTCGACATAGATGGTTTCATCGACAGCAATGTGGCATAAAGAGTGTCCAAATCGGTGGCTTGCACCTCAAACGCACACGTCAAAACTCTCGGGAGTCGCGTGGGCACACGTACAGTAGCGGCGGGGACACTGGCTGCAGTGGAAGGACCGATCGCAACATAATAATCATTCAATGCATTCGGCGTGATTCTCGGTATCTCGCAGGACTGCTGCTTCCTGCCCACGACCGGCCGCAGCACTCGCCACAGCCCGCCCCGGTCACCGCGGCTGATAGCACCAGCATACCGCGCGCGGGTCTCGTTCCGCACGGCGGCGCGGTACAGCCGGTTCACCCGTTTGTACTCGGCTCGATCGCCCCGAGCTAAGGCCGCGCGGCGGGACTGCAGCAGCTGCTGGGTCTCGGCTGACATGGGCGGCGCAGTCACCTGCCTATCACGGACGCGTTTGAGCGGTGCGACAGCATCCAATCGTTCAACGAACGTGTCACGGAAAACGCTCCACTTACGCTCAGTCGAGTCCGAGAAATACACAGGAGACCAATCGGTATCAGCAAGCTGCTGATTAAACGAGTTTGTATCTATCCTGCTGATAGGGCGTCGGTACACACTGGATTCCCGGCGTGGCGCCGCACGACTCTCACTCACGACTCTCACGCACGACTTCCACTTCCCAGTCCAACACTCATTAAGCCAGTTTGTCATCTCTATTCTCAGACTATGTAATTTTGATACATGTGAAATAAGTATGTGTGGTACTGTTCCACTTGAGTACTTGACATGGGAGCAATGCATGACGAATGCTTTTCTGTCTCAGGGGGTAGCATGGTCCAGCAGCAGCAACAACAACAGCAGCTACAGCAGCAGCAGCAGCAACAGCAGCAGCGGTACCCGCCGGGACGGGCTCCTCCGGGCCCTCCTCAGCAGATGAAACGTCCGCCGCCCGCACCTCAGCCGGGCAAAGCGTGAGTTCTGGCCACAAAGTGTGACCTGACCTGCCGGTTAAACGGTTAAATAACCCGATGTTTTTTCCAATACACAACGTTTTGATAAATAAGTTAATTTGTTATGATGTGTTCGATAGCTAATCCGAAGCGGAAGTCCTGTATGCTTGATTTCATTCTCTTTCACACTCGCTTCTGCAGCTTTCTGACGTGAGCAAAATATAGTGAAAGGATTGGGGCCGGTGCCTCCTCCCCTGCTGTCTGATTCGGTCCCAGCCCGTGACAGCACTCTTCCTTGGTGTCTCGCAGACCGAAGAAGCGCCGGCGGATGGCGGACAAGATGCTCTCCTGGAAGGTGCGGGAGCTAGTGCCCGAGTCGCAGGCCTACATGGACCTGCTGGCCTTCGAGCGCAAACTGGACGCCACCATCATGAGGAAACGGCTCGATATCCAGGTAAAGTGGAAAAGCCTCGTAATTCCGAAGGTATAATACTCTTTTGTGGCTGATAACAAATATGTGAGTTGACTTGGATTAAGGTGCATTGAAATGTCATATCTTGTTGATGACCATTACCATGCAGGTATGTACCAGCATAGCATAGCAGTAGTCAGTGCATTTGAATAAAAAAGTCGCCCGTTATGGTATAATGACTTCACCACGGAGCCGCCGAGTGACGTGACCCTTACTCCGCTCTCCCCGCGCAGGAGGCGCTGAAGCGGCCGATGAAGCAGAAGCGGAAGCTGCGCGTGTTCATCTCAAACACCTACTTCCCGGCCAAGGCGCCGGGCGAGGGTCCGGGCGCCGAGCAGGGCAGTGCTGCCTGCTGGGAGCTCCGCGTCGAGGGCAAACTGCTCTCGGACGACAGCAAGCCGGACGCCAAGGTACGGGTGCCGCGACTCGCGGGGGCTGGGCTCGTAACGGCCCCGGGGGCAGCTCGCTGTGTGTTTAAGGAGTAGAGGTGTTGAAAGGAAGTAAAGGAGTAAAGGTGTTCAGTCCCAGCGCTGCGCGCGTGCGGCAGCGCGGGCGGCTCTCCTCACCCCACTCCCCGCACCTGAGTGACTGTGCGATTGAAAGTGAGCCAGCAACGGCAGTGTGACTGAGTGATAGTGCCGACTGCGAGTGGACTTGTGATACCGACACCTTAATTGTGATACCGATACCACGACAAGTGCTGCCTATCCGACCAGCTGTCGACACTGTGCGACTCACCTTGATCCGAGCTGTGATTAAGTACCCTACGTCTGCCATGAAGTCCGAAAATATTCGTGCAATAATCTACTTACACCTGTTATCGACGATTTTGAGGTTGGCCCAACCTGCTCCTCACCCATGGCGAGCACGTTGCCACCCATCGCCCGAGGGCAATGACGGAGCTCTACCACGCCACTCTGCTCCCGCGCGTCCGACAACCACTGTGCACCGCTCTACCCAGCCGGCCAGCTGGCCGGCCGACTCCGCTGGTCACGCGCCGGAGCTGAACGGTCAGCAGACAGGGGCGCGCCCAGGATCGAAAAGGCACCGGCGCTCCAACTACCGAGGACGCAGGGGCGGAGTCAGGTGGCGGCGAGAGCAGTCTGACGACCTTTTCATCGGTCAGATCAACTGCCAGTCGCTGAAACCACGGCTCCCCGAGCTGCGTCACGACATTCCAGAGATATTCGACTATGACCTCTTGGCGCTCAGCGAGACGTGGCTGGTGCCGACCGTTCCCAATCGCTTGTTGAATATAGACGGCTATAGCCTTCACCGAGCCGATCGGCCAGACTCGAGCCGACTGAAGAGAGGCTATGGGGGCGTGGCTGTACTTGTACGGGCCACCTTCTCTGTCACGGTACTACCCACGCCTGCCACCGGTGTCATCGATTCCAACCTCGAGATCATATGGATCAAGGTCGGAGTAAAGAAGAAGAAACAACTTCTGTTCGCGTCTGTGTACCGCCACCCCACCAACACACAGCGACAAGTAGCGGCCGATCTCGAAGACTTCGAGATGCAAATTCAACACCTGCTGGCCATGTACCCCGAAACTGCGGTGATTGTCGCAGGTGACTTCAACTTGTGCATCAAGAAGAAAGAGCCACGACTAGGAGGTCACCTGATCAACCTATTATCGACTTACGGCTTCGAACCAAGCAATTCAACCCAAGCCACCTACCGGCCTGCCAACTCCCTAATCGACCTCATCGCGACCAACCGGCCCGATGCAGTTGTCCGTGGCGGAGTGACACGGTGCCACTACGGCACTCCCCACGACTACACGAGGGTCGCACTGCGGCAGTTCGGTGGCGTGAGAAGAGGGAGAGTCGTTACCGAATGTCGACCCCTATCACGGATTGACGCCGCTGCGTTCAACGCTGTGCTCTCAGTCACCAACTGGACCGACGTGTTCACCAGCCAGACACCGGACGCCAAGTGGTCTGCATTTCTGACTGTGTTTACACCTCTAATTGACAATGTAGCGCCGTACCGGCGCGTGCGGCTCCCGCCGCCAGGAGCCCCGCGTGTCACTGATGGTACGCGGGCGCTGATGGTACGCCGGCGAGCCCTGCTTGCTCCCGGCGCGAGCAGAGCCGAGTACAAGGCGGTGAACCGACAGTGCCGAGCCGCTATACGCAGAGACCATGCCCACTACTTTGCCGACCAGCTGTGCAAAGCCGGCCCTTCGCAAATGTGGAAAGTGCTTCGGCCAATTATCGGCTCCAAGAAGGGTGACAAGTGTGGCGCTCCGAACTGTACTGTCGATGCACTTAATGCCTATTATGTTGGCGTTGGCCCCACCACAGCAGCCAGTGTACCAGCTCCACAGACTGTTCTGCCCGTCATTGTTCCGCGTGTGCTGAGCTGTACCTTTCATGTCAGGACAGTGAACGCAGATACCCTATACGGCATAATTCATAACATGAAACCGTCTTCATTTCTTGGTCTAGATGGCATTAGTGTCGACATGTTAAGACGCTTTTTCGATGGTGTAGGCTATATTCTCCTCGACATTATCAATAGCTGTCTTGAAACTGGAATCGTACCCAGTGCGTGGAAACACGCGCTGGTGGTGCCCATACCAAAGGGTTCCGATAGCTCTGATCCACGCAACACTCGACCAATATCTTTACTACCAGGGGTCATGAAAATCGTAGAGCGTATCGTACAATCACAAGTCACGGAATTTTTCAATGAGCATCAACTGTTTACCGATGCTCAGCACGGTTATCGTCGCAACAGGTCCACCGAGACAGCGTTAGCTGTGATTACTGACAGGATTTTCAAGGCGATGGACCAAGGCGAAATATCTATCCTGATTTTGCTTGACCTATCAAAATGCTTTGATGTCATCAATCACGAGAAAATTTTAGAGAAGTTGAGCCTGTATAACATGGACACCACTTGGTTTAGAAATTATCTGAGCGGTCATACACAACAAGTGATGATCCGCAACGCCGAGGGTTCCTCAGTTATGTCAAAATCCCTCCCCATAGCGACTGGCGTTTTTCAGGGCGGTTCACTGAGTTGTCTCCTGTACTCGATCTTCGTGAATGATATGTGTCTGCATGTACCAGGTGTCAACATTGTGCAATTTGCCGACGACACGCAGATTCTCGTCACGGGAAAACGTGCAGACCTTGAACAACTAATATGCACTGCTGAACAGGCTTTGTCTACCCTATACGCATGGTTTTGTGCCCACGACATGAAGGTCAACGCAGCAAAAAGTCAGCTCATCGTCTTGGGAACGCGTCAGATGCTGAAAGGCATGCCAACTATCAGTGTGAATTTCGCCGGCACGACCATCCGTGAGTCCGACTCGGTTACTAACCTGGGCATTGTCATGGATAAGCACCTATCATTTCACGACCATGTCAGTCGCCTCGTCTCTAGATCCACCGGGACATTATTAGCTTTAAACCACGCAAAACACGTTCTGCCGCCCCACGTAATCGTGCCCATTGTCACCTCGCTCGTTGTTTCCCGACTCCGCTACTGCATCGCTGTTTACGGTACCTGTGGTGCTACGGAGTTGCACCGCGTTCAGAAGATACTGAATTTTTGCGCGCGAGTTGTGAGCGGGCGGAGGAAATATGACAGAGTGTCGGATGTGTTACGCGATCTGCAGTGGCTCACTGCACCAGACATGGCCCTGTATCATCGAATGTGCTCTGTACACCGCATTGTGGAGACACAACAGCCGACTGCGATGGCAAGCAAGTTGGACAGAGCGTCCGACCAGGGTCACAACACGCGAAATGCGAACCGGTTCAGGCTGCCACGAATTCGAACAGAGGCAGGCAGGCGGCAACTTTTGTATAGCGGTGTCTCGGAGTACAACGAATTCATGCACCGTTACAATGGTCGTCCAGCATTCAAAACCGCCGTGAAACGCTACTTGCTGGGGCGTGATTCAAACTGAATGATTGATTGACTTGTATGCATGTGTGTGCTTGTGCTTGAATTGTGTGTATCTGTTTTGCTATGTCAACTCTTTTTAACGTTTGACGTTACGTTGATGAAAAGCCGCAATAGCGGATTTAACGTGAATACAATGAATCTGAATCTGAATCTGAATCTGAACTATTGGTCCGTAAAGAGGAGCACGAATGACCGTTTTGCAGTTTGTGCGTCCTCACCATCCAAACTCCCCAGCAGTCTGCATCACAATATGAACGATTTATTTTGCCTAATGTGCGATGAGCGGAGCATTTGAGTATCATTCATTGTTTCTTTCAAATGTCAATGCCACAATCACTTTGCTTGTCTGTCACAGGGGAAGCGCAAGTTTTCGTCGTTCTTCAAGTCGCTAGTGATTGAGCTGGATAAGGACCTGTACGGACCGGACAACCATCTGGTGGAGTGGCACCGGACTGCCAACACGCAGGAGACGGATGGATTTCAGGTGGGGTTGGAATATAATAACCACTCAAACCAGTAACCACTCTAACCGAACTGTCAGCACGCAGAAGATGAACACTGAACAGGTTTTAGGTGAGCCAACAATGTGAATTGCTCCAACGGCTGCTATTTATAATTACATTATGATTATGTTGTGCCATTGTGTGCATGTTCATGTTAACAACCACTGCAGCTACAAGCAATTTTGCGGTTATAAGTTGTTATTGCGCGTTGTTTCAGCGCCTGCTTCACAACAAGCCCGGTCGTTAGTTATCCACAATGCTCTCCCCAGCTCCAGTTTTTCTAGTCCCCGTGCGTCCACTCACTGAGCCGGGACGACTCCCTCACAACCCACACTCCCTCTCTGGCCGCTCAGGTGAAGCGTCCGGGCGACCGGAGCGTGCGCTGCACCATCCTGCTGCTTCTGGACAACCAGCCACCCCAGTTTAAGCTGGACCCGCGACTGGCGCGCCTGCTGGGCGTGCACACTCAGTCGCGGCCGGTCATCACACAGGCCCTGTGGCAATACGTCAAGCACAACAACCTGCAGGTGAGGGGCGGTACATGTTCGGAGGGGCGGCGCTGGTCCGGGTGCAGGGCTTAGAGGTGGGCTCCGCCATTACCGCTGCCGCAATGGGCCATACGTTAGAGACGGATATTTCGGAATGGCTGATACGGAGCCAGGAAATAAATAGGTTTTACAGATTACAAGTTTCTTCTATTTCAGTGGATTTCTTTTCAGCCTTTATTTCACCTAGTCATAACTAGTAACTTAACCTAACCAGTGTCAAATATTCTAAGTCCGTCATTTGATGAAGCTGTGACATTAGGGTTTCCTCTTACCTGACACGGCGGGTAGGGCCAGAGTGACTAGTGGACTCGGGTACGTGAACTGAGACCTGGGCCTCGTTTCGTAAAGCGAGTCCGTAACTTACGCCGGTTTTTGATATTGTATTGCAAGCGCATGTGAAGCGATGACGATAGTTTGAATCGTTGAATTTATTTATCTTGCAAGCAAGAACAGAAGGGAGACGAGGAAATAAATTTATCGCTTCACATACGCTTGCAATACAAGACCAAAAACCGCCGTAAGTTACGGACTCGCTTAATGAAACGAGACCCTGCATACATCTCTGACCCGACCTGACCTGACCCGACCCGACCCTCAGGACCAGAGTGAGCGCGAGTACGTCAACTGCGACCGGTACCTAGAGCAGATATTCCAGTGTCCGCGGATGAAGTTTGCCGAGATTCCGCACCGTCTGAACTCGCTGCTGCACCCGCCGGACCCGATCGTCATCAACCACACCATCACTGTGGACGGGCCCGAGCAGAAGAAGACCGCCTGCTACGACATCGAGGCGGAGGTGAGACCACAGGCGGGAAGCCTAACAGGTCTGCTCATAACATTGTGTCAGGTTCATGGTATTCGATCTTCTCTGGAGAAAGCCAACCCGTAAAATCTGATATCGTTCTCCGAAACCTGGCAGCACATCACAGCATGTTCATTCCACTACAGCCGCCCGTAACCCGGCCGAATCACTGCACGCAGATCGACGACCCGCTGAAGGCGCAAATGAACACGTTCTTACTGTCGACGGCCAGTCAGCACGAGATCCAGAACCTGGACAATAAGGTGCACGAGACCGTGGAGCTCATCAACCAGTACAAGATCAACCGCGACTTTCTGCTGGGATTCGCCAGCGCGCCGCAGCCCTTCATCAACAAGTGGCTCGTCTCGCAGAGCCGTGATCTAGAGGTGAGAAATGATCGGGCCGGGCGGTGTGGCGGGTCGGCCGGCGTGCTATTATGGAGGTTTCCCAGTAGGTGCCGGTGGTGAGGGCTGAAGTAGTTGATGTAGGTGGCGCTCTGGTGCCGGGTAGGAGCCGTTCTCTGGCTGTGTGCTATATCGGAGGGTTATTGTTCATATCATCATAGATTGATAAATGATTAAGTATATATGTCTGCACATTCAAAAAGTGGCTTTACGGGCTAAGAGTCATCGACACTGCTGTGATTGTTAGGTTTGTTACCGCTGCTTCGAAGGTATGCGTTGTATTTTTAGGGAAAGCAATGTTCAGTTCAATTGCAATCAACCAACTCAGCAATCAGCACTCAGCGTGAAAACTGGGCAAAATTAGCAGTCAAGCCTTACCAAGGAACGCATTAAATTTATGGTGTTGGGTGTGCATATTTGTAATTTGGCTAGCACGACTAGCCTAAAGTACTGACAAAATTTACTCAAGTTTGGCTTCCACCACCCTATCTGACGCCTGCTGCGCTCCCAAATAATTTAGTTGAAACCGTGATCTTGAGGCCAACAATCTGGGTAGATGGAAAAGATGGATACTGAGCTTTTTAGGTGGCCGTTGATGGTCATTACCCTTTCAAATGGCTGAGAAGAAACCGTGGCTTTGACGTGAAAGTTCAGATATTTGATGAAATCTATTGATAAGGAAGTTCAAACTTCTCTGTTTTTTCTTGTTTCTTATATAGCTTAGCCATCTATCCCTACCAAAATGGAAAACGTGAATATTCAATGTTCATAGAAACATAAATGCTTATCGGGTGATCTAGTATTTGCAAACAGGTTCTTCTGAATGTGACATTAAACTGCAGACAGTCCATCAATCATATTGAATGCAAACAAGTTTGGGCCGTTATCAATGCTCTAGTTACTTGTGTGGCCCGTTGCCAAATGGAAAACGCGGATACCAAGGTTTTGTACTACCTATTTAATGCAAATTAACTGTTGAAACAATGCCTTGCCGTCAATTTCTGCGACCGGAGCGACCTAAAATCTGCTGCATTACGGTACTCCGGTGAGACAATTTCAAACGGACTGGCACCAATGTTAAACTGCCGATAATGATGCCACGTGTTCCGGTCCGCCCTGTGCGTGTGCCTGCGTCTATCGGCGCCCCGTCTGACCCTCCGCTTTGCCCCCGCTGTCGACAGACCATCACGGACGTGGTCGGCGCCCCGGAGGAGGAGCGACGCTCCGAGTTCTACCGCCAGGGCTGGACCGACGAGGCCGTCCACCGCTACTTCTACGGCAAGGTGCAGCAGAAGCGCGCCGAACTGGAGAACGCGCTGGGCGTGCGCGGCTGAGCGGCGCCGATGGCGAGATGGCGCCTCGCGCCCCGCTGATTACGATCACGCGGTGACAGAGCGGGCGACGGCGGCAGTTGTGAAAGCATCGCCATTGTGAGTCTGGATTGGATGACGGAGGTGGTGGGTGGTGGACGAATTCTGTCGCCGACCGGACCGGTTGGTTGGACGGCTCGTGTCAGTGTCAGTACAATGGCTCGGATCAGTGAAACGGGGGCCACATCGATTGGATTGAAGTGGCTAGAGATATGCTCAAACTCTTTGCCGCGTGGCGCGTGCTCTGAGGTAACCGATCATTTGAAGAGGTTCGTTTCCTTTTTTCGCTGGAAGCGTGGTTGGCAGATGACAGATGACTTCTCGGCCTCGGGAGGATGGTTTGATAGTGCGTCACGTTCATTACGCTCCGTTAGCTTTTTCAGTTCATCGTTTCTGCATCAAGTGCGAGCTCGTGAAATATTGCACCCGCGCACCCGCGCTAGATTTGTCATAATGTTCACCCTGATGTTCGCCTATACCTCATAGTGATGGAAACGAAGCCTTTTCAGTTGGCATGTTTTTTATTATAAAAGCGCCTTATTCCCTCCAGCCGTACCTGTTCACTTCAAATGGATCTCGAATGTGCGTTCCGCCATGACGCCTTGTATTTTCCGATACAGCGCCACATTTTCATCGCAGCTTGTGCGTTCTGTGAACGCATGAGCCCTTCACTCCATTTTCTACGAACGCCTACAAACCGTTATTGAGACAGCGACAGCAGTGTGTACATATCTTCATAGTATGCACAAATATTTGTAATTGGCAGCAACTTATTGATGCCAATCGCACATTTTCCTGTCCTTCCAATAAACGAACGGTTCGTAACGGGTATTTCAATTATGCGTTCATAAGCGTTCTGTGAGCAGTGTTCCGGGGCCTTTTTCGGAGTCTTGCATCCTGAGACGTGTCCAAGCACAGCTGCCGCTGGCACGTCTGACCCAAAGCACTGAACGACGGGCATGGATAGCGTTAACTGATCCATCTTCAGAAAACGGTCTATGTATGTATATTCAGCCACAGTAATATTCATGTGAATCCACGACGCCCCGCCAATCGAGAAGAGAAGGGCTTCGCTTCTAAGAAAGGGCGTCGTCGCAATTCATGAATTATGCATTGATTCTCAGGCGTATTATGCTCTATTTTTCGCCATTCATGGATCCGCGTTTCAGTACCTAAACCAGCAAGATAAGCTTGTCTAGGTTAAAAATCGTTCTCGTTTTATTCACTTCTGACGCAGGTGTTTGGCGAACCACACCCATGGTATCCACCTTCTACATATTGTAGCCAGCCCAAACGATCGGATCGAAATCAACGGAGCGTATCCGACTATATGGCCCTTCAAACACGTTTGACACCCCTTTCAGTTAACTCAGCATTGATCGATTGTGCGGTATACGCTGGGAAGGAATCTGTCCATTGTCCGAGCCGTGTTCAGCGTGTGTGCTAGTCTCGTGTATCTATTCAAATAGTTCAAGCTAATAAAGAAAAACACACTCGGCAGGCACAAATATACACACATCGCCTCCAATTAAAGGGTGAGGCTTCCGCACTCCCCAGGCCTCGTCTTGTGTGCTGCTCGACAATACAGACACAATGGCATGACCGATGCATGGCTGTGGAGAGCACATTAAGTTATTCATGATGGCAACTCGAAGTACATACATCATCCTCGTACATAACAAAAACTGGACTCGCGCGCCGATATGCGAGGCATTAAAGGGTGGTCCGATCGAATCATATCAATCCATTTATCAATCACTGTCAACAGGGTTTAGTGATGTCAGCTGGTGACAGCTAGAACATTTTTCCATTCTTGTCCAGCATTCCTGGAATGTTACCGTGTCCGGCGCCGGAGCCATGTCATGATTGATGGTGTGCGTACCTTTCAGCTGTCTTCACGGACGGAAGTTTTGCGGCTAAATTTGCATCGCTGTAAGCCAATGGCCTTATCTAGGGGTGCTTATTTTAAAATGCTTACTACTGCCTTTAATTTGTGTACCTGCCTGTGTGGCGCGCGCGTGTGCCTAGAGCGTGTGTATCAGATGGTCAGACTCAGGTCGTGTCAAAGCAGCTAACCTTCCCCGGCCAAGATGGGAAAGAGGGTTTGTATGTGGGCCCACCCCTGGCGTTTTTCACAGATTGGTTGGAATGTGTTAGGTAAAGAGAGCTGAACGTTATCATATCTGTAACCCGACCTTTGATGGCTTTATTGGTTTGGTTACAACGATGCATTGAAATAACTGCAGGCACATCTTTTCACATTTTGCTCAATACCCTCCACTTATGGCAAATATTGAAGCCGACTTGGCGCAAGACCTAAAAATTGGATATCTATCAATCGTCACGTCTCATAATGGCTCACACACCCGTTTCGGCTTATTCAAAGGCGAAAAGGCGGGGATTGATTGTCTTCATACAACCTTTTCCTCGGCCTTAGTATGCAAATAAGGCCGATAGGTTCATTGTAAAGTAATCTTGGGTTCATTAACTTTTATGCCGATAGTGTTAAAATAAATAGGCATTCCGACAGGGACCCAAATCATGAAATCAATTGCTGGTCAATTTATTTTCTTCCTTTGCATAAAATATGTCGATTGCTATGGGTTACTCGGGGAAATGTGTGTTATAAGTCCGTTTTGAAGGCTGCCTGGCGTGTCTGCAGCGGCCACTAAACTGCTCAATATTCTCCGCCGCCGATAGCCATCGTTGTCGGTAATTTACTCGCCGTCAGTTCTCTGTGCGGGTCTCTGTCGTCCGCCTCGGGAACCTGCTCATGAATTCGAGACGTGTTCAGTGTCTGGAAAGAGTCAGTAAATACATTGAACAGCCACAATTTATTGAGATGTTGGTGGTCGTAAAGTGCAGGGTGGGACAAACATTTTTTTCTTGTCCATTAGGTTAGGGTGAACGGTGGGCTGGGTTCCGCGACGAACAGATAACAGCTAACGCCGCGTGACGCCGCCGTTATTTACATCTTTCCCTTTTTACTACCACTCAGAATTACCCGATCGATTTATAAGCCGGCGGATACCTTCACCGTGTGTACGGAAGGGTGGCAAAAACGTTCACGTTGATCGGAGCATCCAATCCAATAACTCGCAGGCCGTCACAGCAGCTACCACTAGACCATTTACGGGAGCCGCTACTTATCCTTCAGAATCAGCCACGGGGAGCGGTAGGAGCTCTTGATCAAGATAGCCTACCGGGCGGGCCCGGCGATCACGAACCCTCGCCCCCGGCCGCTCCTGTGGCACTCTCATCAGGTGCCGTCCCTCACCTAGGTAGGTGGCGCCGCCAGCGGCGGCGGCAGCCACGCGAACCATTAGTTGGTGGGTGGACCGCAGTCTGGGGTCGGCCCGGCGCGGGCCCTGGTGGCCGGGCCGGTCGGCGCAGGGTGCCCTCCAGCCCCCGGTGACAGCAGGAGCGTACCGTCCGACCGAGGACCCGCGCCGCGTGCTCACACCATCAGACACCATGCCGGCCAACAGACTCAAGAGCGGCGAGGACACGCTCCCCATCATGGACCCCTTCTTCACGGTAAGTGAACACTAATCCTGCTAAAAACGAGAAAATAAGGTTAGGCAATTAGCATGCTAATGAAACATTTAATGAGGAAGGACGTCTTTACATGTTTTCCGCTGCTTGCTCACGCATAGTTGGGATCTGGAAATCAACAAGCACGGTTCTTAAGCTGTCATGTAAATGCATGCTGCACGCAGCATCGAGCAATGACAAAATGAGCTACGATACAATTCCCTACATAAATTATGGATGACTCTGATAATTTTTGTTTGTTTGTTTTGTTGGGTTAGGCCCTTTCGGTCCAATGAGACCATTTCAGAGCCGGGAGGATGATAGGATATAGGGGGAGACATTGGTCTGGGCAGGCACCCTAGTGAGTCGCCGGGGCTGAGCCCGTCCAGAGGACAGGCCACCCAGCCCCAAGGCACTCACTGCACCCGGCTACGGGGTGCGCTCCCTCGGGAGCAGCGGTGCCGCTCCAAGGGAGCAGCCCGTATGAGATAAAGTTGCCTGTCCAGCCGGAGGGGGGTTGCGGCGTGGAGGAGAAGGATTTAAGTATCCTGAGGATAGAAGCACGGAACGGTCGCTCTGATAAAAGCTGTGCTGTCCTATACGCTCATTCTGAGCGCACCATGTCATCAGGTGGCCGCAATTACCCAGGTCATGGCAAGTGACGTAAGACGTTTCTTTAAAGCACACTGCATTTCGGAAAGCTGATATTTCTTTCACGGCTGTCATTATGAGGCAGGGTTCATAGGCCTCTGTATACCGTATAGGTACAGAGGTATATGGAAGGTTTAATTAGACACAGACTTTCAGTAAGGACCGAGGCAGCAGGCGGCAGTTGTATACACATTATTGTGAAGATCTTGAATCATTGGTAACTATATATCGAATTGTTTATATCGGTTACTGGAGGACCGGTTTTCTTTCAACCAGTCATTGCAGAATCCTAAATCCCTAATCTACCTATATCCATCCGAGTATGCGATTGCCTCAAATTGTGTTTTCCTTAGGGCATAGAACAGTATGTAGTATGTTCCTCTTGCAGTATGGGGGTCAAATCTATCTGGCCTAGAGAGTTGCAATGGAAGGGAGAAGACGTTTTACACCCGTTACCTACCCATCAGCTTTGGCAAACATTCATACTTCAGTTCGTAGCGCCCAAGTGACCTTTGACGGTTTGACCTGTGACCTGTTCCTTGAGACCATGTCAATGTCAGGGGGAATGGTGGTTCGGCGTATGTGGGCGCACTTAATCCGTGCGTTTCCAGACTTTTTGTGATAAGAAACGTGCCAACATGTGAAATGATGCTTGTCCCATGCACAAAGGTGGGTGTCAAGGTCACTCGAAGGTCAGATCAAGGTCATTGACCTTTCGTGACCTCGTTTTTTAGCAGCTGATTTCAAACTTAGCACTCATTTGAACATTTAAGAAGTTTTTGTGTCTTTGCAACATGCTACAAAAATATCAGTGGCGGTTTATGTCTTCTATGGAATATGGATAGTTGGCGGAGCGTCTACTGGTTGACATGACCTGACCTGGACCGACATAACCCAAATGGATGAATACCTACAGCAGATTAAAACTTATATGAATTCGAAATCAGGACACCGAACCCCTTATATCAACCTCATTTTCGGAAGTCAAGCAGGTCCGATTTTCCCGACTTTTGGGTCAATGGCCTTACCTGAAAGGTCTACCAATGACCTTAAAATTGGGTATCGTGATAATTGTAATTGTATCGTGAACTTAAAATTTAAAATTGGTAAAATATGGGTAACGGCTTCCTGTCGTCACACGAGCGTTTTTCGGCGAAGCTTTAGCTCGATCAGGGACCGAACATCTGGGGAGGGAGCGCACTAGCCTCCTCCCCCTGCATGTAAGCGGCTGGCGAAACGCCACTACGGGCGAAGGTTGAATTATTCATGATATTAGCATGCTTGTTTTCACATGCTCAGTGTTGCGCATTATAGCTGCACTTAGTTCGTATATCCGGTCAGTCGCCATCTATGTATATGAAGCGGCCGAACATGCAAACAAAATAAACGGTGACCTGGGAACGCGGGCCGATCGTTTGTTTTGAAATAATCAGCAGTTAAACACGGGTAGAATGAAGGCAGCGCTGTGATGAATCCCGTGACCTTACTCCCGCTGACAGTCTCGACCAGACTCGTTTCACCAGCCTCGACGATAAACGAGCGCAGGGAACGCATCGGTTGCGCGGCTGTCTCAATTTGAGACAGAGCATTGCTGAAAAGTTTTCTTGAGAAGAGCATACCACGAGTATCCAAATATGCTG